ATAAATAAGTTCAGAAAAGTTACATGATAGAAGATCACTCTTCAAAGAGGGGGAAAGGGGACTCCTGCAATAATGTCAACATTAAAATTTTTTCATTAAAAACAAGTTAAATAATAACATTTTAAAATTGATCAGATTTCTAAACAGTAATAATCATCAAACTGAAAACGAAACAAAAACAATTCATTTTAAAATAGCATCAAAAAGAATAAAATATTTAGGAGTAAATTTAACAAAACATGTGTGGAACATGTACTCTGAAAACAAAAGGTGTTGAAATTAAAGACCTATATAAATGGGAAAAAATCATATGTCCATGGATCAATTAACACTGTTAAGACAGCAATACTCTCAAAATGTATCTACAGATTGAACACAGTTTTTATCAAAATCCCAACTAGATTATTTGAAGAAACTAATAAGTTTATGGGGGAGGGAGGGTCGCATCTGTAATAGTATCAACAATAAAAGTAAAGTTTAAAACAAACAAATGAAAAATTTAAGGTATCCATGATAGTTAACACAATCTTAAAAAAGAAGACCAAAGTTGGAGGATTTATAACTTCTAATTTTAAAACTTACTATAAAGCTACAACAATCAAGATATTGTCATACAGGCATGGATTAGGCATGTAGATCAATGAAATAGAACTGGGAATTCAGAAATAAATCATTATATTTTTGTCAATTATTTTTCAACAAGGGTGCCAAGAAAATTAAATGGGGGCAAAGATAGCTTTTTTCAAGAAAGGGTGCTGGACAATGGAATACTACACTGCTATATAAAGGAAGGAACTCCTACCATTTGCAACAGCATAGATGGACCTGGAGAGCATTATGCTAAGCAAAATAAGTCTGTAGAGAAAGATAAATATGACATGATTTCACTCATTTGTGGAATATAATGAGCAACATAAACTGATGAACAAAACCAGATACAGAGACAGAAAAGCATCAATCATACTATCAAACCTCAGAGGGAAGGTAGGATAGGGTGGGAGTAAAGGAGAGAGATCAACCAAAGGACTTGTATGCATGCATATAAGCCTAACCAATGGACACAGATACAGAGGGGTGAGGGCATGAGCAGGGGTTGGGGAGTAGGAGGGCAATGGGGGATAAGGACACATATGTAATACCTTAATCAATAAAGAAAAAAAAAGAAATTGTGCTGGAAAAACTGAATATTCACATGCAGAAGAATTAAGTTGAACTCCTTACCTCACATCATACAAAATAATTTAAGTCTAAATGGGTTATTGTGCAGAAAAGAGTTACCACAGCAAGCCAGAAGTGCTATTCTTGGAAAGGCCTGCTTACAAGATTGACTCCTGGCTGGAGTTTGGAAACCTGGATTTGGGGAGGGCTCCCATCACTTCCAAAATTGATAACAGTGGTTTACTGTACCGAAACTGTGCAACACTATGGTTTCTGTTGAACACTTGCTTTTCCTCTGGGAGTCTGGAGTTTTAGTATGTTCCAGACAAAAGCTGTTTATGTGAGCAGCCCCAGTAAAAATCCTGGGTTCTGAGTCTTTAATGAGTTTCCCTGGTTGGCAATATTGTGCATATGTTCTCACAAGTCATTTGCTGGGGGAATTAAGCACATCCTGTGTGACTCTACTGGGAGAGTACTCTGGAAATTGGTGTCTTTTTCCCTTGGATTTTGTCCAATTCACCCTTTTCCTTTGCTGATTTTGCTTTGTATACTTTTGCTGTAATAAGTCTTAGTTGTGATTATGACCATATGACTTATTATGTCCTGTAAGTCCTCTTAGTGAATTATAAAACCTGGGGGTGGTCTTGGAGATCCCCAAAACAATTATAGACATAATTTTAAGATCTAAAACTATAAAACTCTTAAAACAAAAAGTAGGAATAAATCTTTGTAACCTTGGGTTTGGCAAAACTTTCTTAGATTTTGTCTAATAAAGCGGGAATATGCAAATTGACCATCACACCATAACAAAAATGCGTCCACAGCAGAGGCAGGGATTCTGTAACACAAATGGCTGTGGCCACAGCAGAGGTGGGGATCCTTTAACATAGGGGTGTCGAACTCAATCAGAGAAGGGGCCAAAATCTAAAATCCAGCCTAAATCGCGGGCCGAATGGTTTACTGAACAGTCATAAACTGTCATTGTGATGGAAACACAGCGAGTGCAGTGATGACAGCGCGGTGCGGGCCACATTGCAAGGCCTGGCGGGACAGATTTGGCCTGCGGGCCTTGTGTTTGACACATGTGCTTAACACAAGATGACTGTGCCCACAGCGGAGGCTGAGTTCCCATAATGAGCCTTAACAAGCAATCAGTAGGAACCTAAGGCTGCATCCCCCTCCCACCTGGTGGGGCTTGACAGGGGACCTCAGGCAGTGCCCCCACCCTGGTGCCAGGATGGGGGACATCAGGCCATGCCCCCTGCCTATATGGGGCTTGATGGGCAACCTCAGGCTGTGCCTCCCTCCCATAGGACTTGATGGGGGACCTCACATTGCAACCCCCCCCCCAGAGCTTTACAGGGGACCTCAAGGTGCAACCCCTTCCCCGGTGTCAGGCCAGGGCACCTGAGGCTGCACTCCCTCCACCCCCAGCGGGGCTTGACGGTGGACCTCATGCCATGCCCTCCCATTTTAGCACCAGGCCAGGCAACCTGAGGCTGTGCCCCCCAACCTGGTGGACCTTGATGAGGGTAGGGCTGGCTGTGTCTGGATCTAGCCAAGTAGGGGGGGAGCCAGCCGGGTCTGAGTCTCATGAGATTTTGAGGCACACATGAGTGGGTGGGGACCTGGCTCTGAGTTCTGTGGTATGCCCCAGACTCTGACAGGAGGGAGATTTTCATATACATTTTACTAATTTTCTTTCATCTCTGACACTTCTATTATAAAGAAAGGGCAAATAGCAATATTAAAATTTTCCCTCTAATTCCCTTTTAATGTGCACAAATTTCATGCACCAGGTCACTAGTATAACACTAAAAGAAAAAGTAAGTAAACTGAATTTCATCAAAATTAAAAACTTCTGCCAGGATCGGTTTGGTTCAATGGATAGAGCATCGGCTTGGGGACTGAAGGGTCCTGGGTTCGATTCCGGTCAAGGGCATGTACGTTGGTTGCGGGCACATCCCCAGTAGGGGGTGTGCAAGAGGCAACTGATCGATGACTCTCTCTCATCGATGTTTCTAACTCTTTATCTCTTTCCCTTCCTCTCTGTACAAAATCAATAAAATATATATATTTTTTAAATTAAAAACTTCTGTTCTTCAAATGACACTATCAAGAAAGTAACTCAGTGGTTGATATTCTCTAGAGGGGAAAAAAGAAATTAAAGGGAAAAGACAACCCATAGAAGAGAAGAAAATATTTTCCAATTACATATCTGATAAGGGATTTATATCCAGAATATATAAAGAACCTTTACAACTAAACAATGAAAAGTCAAATACCCAATTAAGAAATTGGAAAATAATCTGAAAGGAAATTTCTCCAAAGAAGATAACTAGCCAATGGAAACATGAATAGATGATCAATATCATAAACAATCTGGGAAATGTAAATCAAAACCACAATGAGATACTACTTCACACCCACTAAAATGGTTAGAATAAAAAAGGCCAAAAGAAAAAAAATAGCAATGTTTGGTGAAGATATGAAGAAATTGGGACACTCAAACATTGCTGGTGGAAATGTAAAATGGTACAGCTACTTTGCAAAAACAGTTTGCCAATTCCTCAGAATGCTAAACAAAGTTACTTACCAAATAACCTAGAACTTTGGCTCCTAGGTATATATGCAAGATAAATGAATACATATGTCTACACAAAAACTTGTACATAAGGTTGATAGCAGCATTACTCCTATTAGCCAAAAACAGAAACAATCCAGTTGTCCATCAAATGATGAAGTACTGACCCATGCTGCAACATAATGAACTTGGAAAAACTATAAGTAAAGGAGGAAATATATTGGGGAAAGTGGTTCTTTGACAGTTTAGATTCAGAAATAAACATAGAAATATTTTATGAGAAAAAACCTCACATTTTAATTTGGGCCAAATGCTTATATCGCCAACCACTGCTAAGTAAAACAGAAAGTGCCTCAAGACATTTGTATTGGCTAGTGACTATCACACTAATGTACTAAGTAGATGATCTGTCATTTGTCTTTGTACCATTAGAATCCTAGGCTGCTGATAGTGGGGTCAACCCAAAAAAAGGTATCCAGACTATTTCCTAAAACCAAATAGCAGCAGTTTTTAGGTTTTTTTTTTAGTAACTTCACCTCTATGTCTCTGACCTCCTTTATTAATGTGCATATGACAGAGTTGGCCAAATCTTACTTTACTAATTCATTATAGGTTATTTGGTTAAGGTCAATAGAAATATCAAAATTGTTTCCAATAGTTTCTTTCCAATTTTTTATTTGCTTGCTTCTGAAATTATAGGCCAGTATGAATCACTGATTTAAACCAAGGAAAATTTACTACTATATTTCCAGTGTGTGGCATGAAATTGGCACTCACTTAATATTTATTAGATAATCAATAATCAGAGTAGCTACCCCAGTGGTTTTCAAAATTAAAAGTGCATCAGAATCACCTAGAAAGATGATTAAAATACAGACTATTGGGCCTCACCCCAGACTTTCAGAGAGGAGAACAAGATTTTAAATTTCTAACAAATTCTCAGGTAACACTGATGCTGTCTAGTACAGTGCCTGATGCATAGTAGACATGCAATTAATTATAAGTTATAGAATAAATGAACAAACGGCTACTTAACAAATAATTTTAAAATTGGATTTTGTTTTCGTGACTCCCTTTCTTGCCTTTATGGGAAATAAATGGAAAGATTTCACCTTCATACATAAACTTGATTTATATTTATTTTAGTTCTTCATTCATTTTGTTTTTCTTTTCAATCAATCAGTATATGTCACAATTTACATAACAGTATGTTCAAAGAACTGGTAAATGGTATATAATACAAGATAACAGCCCTTACCAGAAAAGACGGTGACATCAAATCTATACCCAGGGTGTGACCACCGTTGGACTACAGAGAGAGAGAGAAAGAGAGAAAGAGAGAGAGAGAGAGAGAGAGAGAGAGAGAGAGAGAGAGAGAGAGAGAGAGAGAGAGAGAGAGAGGAAATTAAATTTTAAAAGAGATGAGGCAAAGCCCCCATTATTTGCATTTTTAAGTTATTAATAGAGTAAAATGACAAACTATTCAAGTAACTAGCCAGCATGTTATCATTTAAAAAGATGATGAAATCGCCTTATTTTAGAAGTAATGTTAAAGAGTAAAACAAAGAAAACTTCCTGGGAAATATTTTTCCATAAGAAAAGAGAAAATTGGTGAGTGGTAGAGAAATGGCTTAGAACAATACAAAATATCAGACAGGCAGGCAATGATGGAAATCAATATTTAGAAATGAGAAAATAATGAATACTTATGGATCCCCATAGTCTGAAATAAACTTTTAATGATTTCGACTTTCTTGAAGTTCTATAGGTAATGAATGTGTAAAAAAAAAAATTAAAGGATATAGCTGGGTATATTAATTTAGCTGAGAACATAGACTTCAAGTTCTAAATATATAATGGACTTGTAAGTAACACTGTGTGACTGTAAACAACTATGAACTGCTTAGCCAGTCACTTTCAATCAAAACTAGAATTGTTACCAACAATGTCAGTTTAACTCTTCAATATGAAATGTAAGTCTTCCACTTTTCCGATAGAAAAGATGTTCAAATTACACAATTTATCTGGGGGGAAAAAACTGTAAAGTGAGCATTTTTCTATCATAAGACCCATTCTTACTCTACTGCATAATATAAATGTGAAAGACTATCTGATAAGTGTTCTTACTCTTATCCTATATAATAAAAGCCCAGCAACTGAATGGAACTACTGAAATAACCGGAATGACCACAGCCCCTTGCCCTGGCCAGTCCTGCCACCCTGGCAGGGATGGCCAGCAAACAACACGCAGCCCCTCGACCCGGCCGGCCCAGCCCCCTCCGAGCCTCCCCACCCCAAACAGGGTGGGGATTGTCCAGGCCGGCCCCACTCCCAAGAGGGCCCACCATCCCAATCAGAGAGGGGCTGGCTAGCAAACTGCCTGCGGCCCCTCACTCCAGCCAGCCCCACCCCCCAACTGCCACCCAACCTAGATCAGGGCCATGGTTTGGCCCCAATGGCGTGGAGCAGCAGGGGCTGAGGCAGAGGCGGTAGGGACGATTAGGCAGGCAAGCAGAGTGGTTAGGGGCAATCAGGCAGGGAGGCAGGAGAGCAGTTAGGGGTGATCAGGCAGGAATGCTGAGTGGTTAGGGGCAATCTGGCAGGCAGGTGAGTAATTAGGGGTGATCAGGCATGCAGAGTGGTTAGGGGCATCAGTCAGGCAGGCAGAATGGTTATGATCAGGCAGACAGGCAGGCAGAGTGGTTGGGGCAATCAGGCAGGCAGGCAAGCAGGGGCTATCAGGCAGGCAGGCAGAGTGGTTAGGGGTGATCAGGCATCAATGTGAGATCTAGAGGGCAGTATTAGTTAGAGGTGATCAGGCAGGTAGGCAGGCGTGTGGTTAGGGGTGATCAGGCAGGCAGGCAAGCAAGATCGTTAGGAACGATCAGGCAGGCAGGTAGGCAAGGGGTTCGGAGCCAACAATCCCTGTGGAATCAGGCCTAAACTGGCAGTCAGACAGCCCCTGAGGAGTCCTGGATTGCCAGAGGGTGCACGCCCAGCTGAGGGACTACCACCACCCCCGTGCACGAATTTCGTGCATTGGGCCTCTAGTAGAAATAGAAAACTCTACCCTGCCACCTCTCAAACCCAACTCACCAAAGGCTCCTGAAACCACAAAATTAGATCACAGATTCAGGCTAGCAGTTCAAAGTGTAAAGCCTTTCACACCTTTCTCCTTCCCCTTGGACTCCCTGTCTCAGAAGAGGCATGCATGGTAGGGACGCACAAATGAAAGCTCAGAAAAATCACTCTTTTGGGGTCCTATGGCATATCCAGGAAGAGACAAATTGATCTCCAAAAACCAAGCACCAGACTCTGTCCCTTCCTCATCCCGAGGCTTCAGCTTCAGGCAGGAGACAAGGAGAGAGCCCTCTCGAATTTTCACAGAGACAGGAATGCTCAGGAGGCCAAGATAATAGAAACCTAAGGACCCAAATGCTGGGGCCCATGCCGCCAGGACCCACACAGCACAAGGCCAAGAGGAGCTCAGACCAAGTTCTAAACAGCCATCCCAGGGCATCCAAGGCTACAGCACATACTGGATTGTGTAATGGCAGGAGCTTGGGCATTCTAGAAGTGGAGAGCTCACCCCAACCCCTGGGCCCCAGGGGCTCTTTGCCTGGGTGCCCTTCCCCCAGATGCTCAGCCCAAGCTGTGCCAGCAAAATTCCTTTGCTGGGGCAGGATCACAGGGGGTAGATTGGGGAGGGATGGCTGTTTGCACACATGTAATTAGCTCTAATTATCCCAGGCTTTCAGTTCACCTACTTGGGGCCTGGAGCTGCACCAGGGGTAAATGTGGCCACAGAGCTGCTGCTCCACCGAATGAGCCCTGTCACCAGGCCGGGAAGCTCTATCCCAGTCCACAGCACCCTGTGTTGGCTTGGGGATATCTTTGTATATCCTCGGTCGTGTGCCTACACTGGCCGCTGGCAAGATTCAAGAGTACTTGGCACCAATGAAAAAGGAAGGGGTGGTGGTGGGGAGGGGAGGATGAACTGGTTCTCAGCTGCGATTGAAGGAAGTGCTAGCGCCCAGCTCTCCTGTCTGTGTAAGTCCTACATAAATGTGAGCCCAGAGCAGTGTCCAAGGCCAAAAAATCCCTGGGATTTTGGATGTAACTGCCAAACTGAGGTGTCCTAGACCATGCTCTATCTTCTTGCCCCCAGTCATATCGAGCCTCAGCCACCAGCACTCCTCTCCTGCAGGTGGCATAGCCAAGGCTCAGAGAGGTTAGGGAACTCACAGAGAGGTTAGGTGGCACAGCATGCCAGGGCCGCCACGAGAGCCACTGCATGGGATTTGGGATTCGCTCAAAAACAGGTGTGTGGGGACCTGGGAGGGAATGCCTCCAGGTCCTCCTCTCTGTGTCGTCTCAGATCCCTAGCCCTCGGCAACCCTGGTCCCTGTGTATTCAGTCCATTGCCCACAATATCCTTCCAGCCAGTTCAGCAATGTCTATGCTGAATGGAACCAGAGCGCAGAGGAGAGCGAGCTCAGCCCCAGGGACCTTAGTTGGAGGTGGAGGGATCAGCCTTCCCAAAGCCGGATTTCTCAGCACACTTGCTGAGTCCCTCCCTTCGCCTTCCGGGCTCTCTGTGGCTGTCTATCTCACCCACCCTGTGCATCTCTCTCCTTGCTCCTTGCTCTCTGATCCTGTTTGCTCTTCCCCATATCTCACTGGGCCTTTTGTCTCGGTTTCTCATTGGATCTCTGCCCGTGGAGAACATCCCTGCTTCCCCTGCAAAGGAACACACCAGCAGAATCTGCCTTTTCAATAAAAAAAGAAAACAGGAGGTGAATTAAAAAGCATTAACTTAAAAACAATCCATGTGTCTGCAAATGCATTCCAAATGGCAGCACTTTGGCGGGTGTGGCAGGGGCAGGGCATGTTGGCCACATGTTCTGGAGCCTCAGACATAAAGTGTAGGGGGCTCAGCACCTCGCTATGGACCCTTCCCCCTAGCCATCTGGGATGGGAGGGTCTGGGGAAGGGACTTAGTCTATACTCACCCTCCAAGACCCCCACCTGATTCGGTAAACCGTTTGCCCTGTTCTGGCATCTGCTGGTCCCTCTTACTCCCCCAGTACCTCCAAGCCTTCCTATGCTGACCCCAACTCTCCTTCTGCACCAGCCCTCCCCCCAGAGATTTCACCTTATCCCTCCCTCAGCCCCCCAATCTTCTATCCCATACTTCTTTCTGCCCTGCTCTGCCCCACCTTCATTCTGCCCTCCTGCCCCAGACCACCAAGCAGCTGTTTCTAGGAGAAATGGTTAGAACAAAGCTTTCCTTGGCCGGAAGAGACTCCCCAGGGAGCTGCATGCAGAAACGCACTCCCAGTCCTGTACCTGCAACTGCTCTGTCCTACCAGATGCCAATCAGAAATGTGTCTCTGGCCAAAACCGGTTTGGCTCAGTGATAGAGCGTAGGTCTGCAGACTGAAAGGTCCCAGGTTTGATTCAGGTCAGGGGCATGTACGTTGGTTGCGGGCACTTCCCCCCGTAAGGGGGTGTGCAAGAGGCAGCTGGTCGATGTTTCTCTCTCATCGACGTTTCTAGCACTCTATCTCTCTCCCTTCCTCTCTGTAAAAAAATCAATAAAATATATTTTTTAAAAAGAAACAGCAATCCTAAACAAATCACTGGATAAGAATGAAATAATTGCCAAAACCGGTTTGGCTCAGTGGTAGAGCATAGGTCTACGAACTGAAAGGTCCCAGGTTTGATTCTAGTCAAGGGCATGTACATTGGTTTCTTTGTGGTTTTGTTTTGTTTTGTTTTGCTTTGCTTTGTTCTTTTGTTTTGTTTTGTTTTTGTCTAGATAATTTATCCAGTCATGTACGTGGTGTAACAAAGTCCCCTACTAAGATTGTATTGCTGGTGCTATCTCTGTTGAAAACTTCCAGAAGGTTTTTTTTTTTTTTTTTTTTTTTTTTTTTTTTAATGTATTTGGTGCTCCTGTATTGGGTGCATATATGTTTACCATGGTTATATCCTCTTGTTTTAGTGATCCCTTTAATATCATGAAGTGGCCTTCCTTATCTCTTGTTATGGCCTTTAATTTGAGGTTTATTTTGTCAGATATAAGTATTGTTACCCCAGCTTATTTTTCATTTCCATTTGCCTGAAAGATATTTTCCCATCCCTTCACTTTGTCTGTGTGAGTCCCTTGTTTTGAGTTGGGTCTCTTGTAGACAGCAAATATATGAGTCATGTTTTTTATTCTTTCAGCTACCCCATGTCATTGGATTGGAATATTTAACCCATTTAAATTTAAATTATTATTGACTAGAGGTCTGGTACACAAAATTCGTGCATAGGAGTGTGTGTCCCTCAGCCCATCCTACACAGTCTCCAATCTGGGACCCCTCAAGGGATGTCTGAATGCCTATTTAGGCCATATCCCAGTAGGATTGGGCCTGAATGAGCAGTCAGACATCCCTCTCACAATCCAGGACTGCTGGCTTCCAACTGTTTGCCTGCCTGCCTTCCTGATTGCTCCTAACGACTTATTCCTGCCAGCCTGATCACCCCTAACCACTCCCCTGCCAGCCTGATTGATGTCTAACTGTTCCCCTGCCCGCCTTATGTCTAACTGTTCCCCTCATTGCTCTCCCATGCAGGCCTGGTCACCCCTAACTGCCCTCCCCTTCAGGCCTTGTTACTCTTAACTGCCTTCCCTGTAGGTCTGGTCCTCCCCACCTACCCTCCCCTGAAGGTGTGATCCCCCAACTTCTCTTCTCTATAGACATGGGTCCCCCCAACTTCCCTTCCCTGCAGGCCCAGTCGCCCCCAACTTCCCTCCTCTGCTGGCCTGGTCATCCTTAACTGCTCTCCCCTGCAGGTTTGATCACCCCAACTGCCCTCCCTTTAAGGTCTGGTCCTTCCCAACTGCCCTCCCCTGCTGGCCTGATTGCCCACAACTACTCTCCCTTGCAGGCCTAGTCCCTCCCAACTGCCCTCCCTTGGGGCCATCTTGTGGTGGCCATCTTGTGTCCACATGGGGGCAGCCATCTTTGACCACATGGGGCAGCCATCTTGTATTGGAGTGATGGTAAATTTGCATATTACTCTTTTATTAGATAGGATAAGTACTTGTTTGTAGCCATTTTTATTTTTTATGCCAGTGTTTCCTCTTCCTTTTCTATTTCTCCTTTTTACTAGTACAAGTTTCTTACACATTTCTTGCATTGATGGCTTGGTAATCAATAAACTTCCTTAGCCTTTTTTTTTAACTGGGCACTCTTGATTTTCACTTCAATTTTGAATGATAGCCTTGCTGGCCAGAGTATTCTTGGATCCAGCCCCTTTCTTTGCATCACTTTGTATACTTCATTCCATTCCTTTCTGGCCTGATGTGTTTCTGTTGTGAAATCATTTTATAATCTAATGGGAGATCCCCTGTAGGTAACTCTCTGTGTCTCTTTTGCAGCCTTTAAGATTCTCTCTTTGTCATTAACTTTGCTATTGTAATTACAACATTTGTCTTGGTGTAAGTTTTTTTGAGTTCATCTTATTTAGCACTCTGTGTGCTTGTGTGACTTTTTTCTCCCCCAAATCAGGGACATTTTCTGTCTTTACTTCTTCAAATAAGTTTTCTAATCCTTGCTCATCTTCTTGTCCTTCTGGCACCTCTATTATATGGATGTTGCTTCATTTCTTGTTATTCCAAAGCTCACTTAAGCTCTCCTTCTTTTTAATTTTTTTCTCCAATTGCTGGGCAGATTGGGTGTTTTATTCTACCCTGTTTTCTAAGTCACTCATTTGGTTCTCCACTCTTCTAGTCTACTGTTGAAATCTTCCATTGTGTTCTTTATCATAGCTGTATCATTCTTCATTTCCTCTTGATTTTTATATCTATGGGTAAATTTCTCATTTAGCTGGTTTAGGAACTATATGACTCTTACTCTGAATTCTTTCTCTGATATACTAATTGCCTCCATTTCATTTAGTTCTTTTTTTGGTGATCACACCTTTTCTTCCCTTTGGGGGTTGGGTTTTTTTTTTTTTTGTCTCTTTGTTTTTCTGCCTCTTTTTTTGCCCTGGGCTCCATGCTTGGGGTCTGAGGGGTTGAATGACCTAGGACTCGCTAGCCTGGAGGCTGAGTCTGCCTTGAATTTCACACCTTTATTGTTTCTGCTCTGAGTTGTAGCCTCTTTCCCGCTGGTTCTTGTCTTTCAGTTGTCCACTTCACATTCTTACAGTTGGCATGTTCACATGCACAGTTTTTCTGGTGTGTGACTCCCTGTGGGGGCCTAGAGTCCTCTGGTATGCAATTCATTGTGTGGCCCTAGTACCCAAGAAAGAATGGCATTCTAGGACCTTCTGGCAGCACACATATAGTGTGGTTCTATGACTTGAGAGTGGGCACAGCAGGTCACACCAGCAGCTCTCACCTGGGCCTGGGGTAGGGTGCATGCCAGCAGACAGCTCTGACTCTGCTGGGGGTGGAGTGCAAGCTGGCCAGAAGCCTCTGACCATGCCAGGAACAGAGTCTGTGCTGTTATCTCTTCTTAAAAGTAATAAATCTAATTCTAGTTTCATAAAGAAAATTAATTTTAAAATTACAGGATGATCTTAATAAGGGGATCTCTGAGTTTTAATATTTTGGTATCAGAAACAAATTACTCTTCTCTTAAAATTAACAAAAATCATTTGGTTCAGTAAAAGGAAAGCTGTCTAGAAAATGATTGCTATAAAAGAAAATCAAACAAGCTATTATGTGGCTTGTCATCTTATTTGTTAAAAGGCCATGAGCTCATGAATATTATGTAGAATTTAGGCAGGTTAAACTGTTAAAGGATCTCTAGTTGTTTCCCCTGACTTAGTCTAGATACACAGTATATGAAATTCCACCTGAAAAACATGCAGCTCACTTTAAACTCAGAACATAAAACAATATATATAATTCCAACAAAATATGACTTCAAAAAATGTTCTTAAACATGTCAATTTCTTAGTGAATCACCCAAGTAATATCTTACCTGCTTTATTTCACTTTTTAACTGCATGATCCCAGTTCTTTCAGTTTTGGTAGCTCCAACAGCACCAATCTCATGAATAGAAATGGCAGGGCTGATATTTGAATCAGTGGGGCGCACTAGATAGCATGATAGATTAAAGATAGAGGGGACAATCAGGTTCATTTTTTTTCCTCCACCACAATTAAAAGACTTCAATGTATATCTTCCTTTTATTTTAATTTTTAAAACACACACAGAAGTAAAACCTTGCTATTCAAAGTGTGGTCCATGGACCAGCAGCATCAGCATCACCTAGAAGCTTCTTAGTAGAATTTTAGGCTTCACTCTAGACTTTTGGTCCAGAATCAAAGACTGCATTTTAGCAAGTTCTCCAGGTGCAGAGTAAGGCTTGAGGAGCACTGCTTCAAAGCCTTCTTTTACCAATCCATGTTCTGGTATCCATCCAGCTGACATTATATATTTATTTATCCTAAGCCAAAATGTTGAGTGTGGGAGATAACCACTTTCATTTGCTCTGTTGATTAGGTACTTAACACCAAGTGCACATGAAAGACTAATTTGTGATGGAACCCTTTGTTTGAATTTAAAGGTGCATCAGATGCACTGTAGCAGCTACACACACGTACATGTGAGTCATTTGTTAATCCTAAAACAGAAACTTCAATTTAGGATAATTTAAGGGAATGGATAAAGCAGTTTAAAACAACACATGAGCCCAGCCAGTGTTGCTCAATGGTTAAGTGCAGACCTAGGAACCAGGGGGTTGAGGATTGATTCCTGGTCAGGGCATATGCCAAGGTTGTGGGCTTGATCCCCATTGTGGGGCATGCAGGAGGCAGCTAATCAGTGATTCTCTCCCATCATTGATGTTTCTATATCTGTCCCTCTCCCTTAAAAAATAAAACAACATATATATCAATCTATTTAGTTGATACTATCATTTAAGGGGAAAAGTGAGACATACAATGGTTTCCAAATATTGTTCCAGAAGACAGTCATGCTTTTAACTGTTCATATATTAGGGTTCTATTTATTTGTGGGGAAAAGATTCCTCAGATAAAAAAATACACTGTAAATCAATGACATATTTAAATACTCTGAAATAAAAATTCAACCTTACCACTGCGTTCTACTCCAAACTCCTTTCCACTGAGAATGTGATGCAGGAGGCTCTTCATGGCTGAAGGGCTGAGATTCATCAGGCCATCTGTGGCTTCCTCAGCTAGTTAGCAGAAATGTTAGGGCAGAGATATTTATAATTGGCCTGTCATACCCACCCTATTTTTTTCTATTTTCTTTTTTGTTTAGAATTTCTTTCTAAGTCACTTAATTGGAAGAATAAAATAACAAACAAACAAACAAAAACATTTCTAGTACCATACTGCCTAGATATTAAGACTGTAATTGATTTATAATAATTTAATGACTATGTAGTTTATGGATTAGCCAGGTCCTTGATTTATTTTTTTTTACTCCCCTCCACACCATTAGGATACTCAGCAGGACTTTTATTTGAAGGTGGGAAGAATGAAAGGAGAACAATGGGATTGGAACTAATCAGAGAAAGGCAATGAATGTAATGAATGAATATGCAGATGGACTAAAATAATTAAAATTTGTCAGCCTGGAAATACAGAGATATAAAAGGTAATAGATATGAATCCATAAAATTATAAAGAATGTTGAGAAGATAAATTAAACCTGTTAATCAGCATCAGACACTTATTAAGGGGTTTTCTACCTATGGATAATGATTTTATGCAATGTGCGTACTAACAAGTATGACATGATACTTGACCTTGAGTGGCTGACCAATTATTTGGGATAGATTGGATATGTAAACAAGATAGACAATAATAAAACATGGCTATGTAAGTGCCAAATTATGGTTGATTAAATTAGTGAGAAGTATTGCTGAAGTAAGAGGTAGAATCCAGACTAATGAGGATCTTAAATATCAGACTCAGGGATCTTAACTTTATCCTACAAGAAATAAATAGCCATCGTTTTGATGACTTCACAGGAAAAAAAAAGATCCATAGCAGCCACTTAAGGAAACGTTAAAAATGTGTGTTTATCCCTCATTCAGGTTTATTTTTTTTAACAAAATTTGTGCATGGGGGGGGGGGTCCTCTCAGCCCACCCTGCACCCTCTCCAATATGGGATATCCCTCTCACAATCCTGGACTGCTGGCTCCTAATTGTTCACCTGCCTAACTGCCTGATTGCACCTAATTGCCTGCCCCCCCACAGGCATAGTCGCCCCCAACAGACCCTCCCCTGCTGGCCTGATTGCCCCTTACTGCACCACCTGCTGGCATGGTCGCCCCCAACTGCCCCCCCACCAACCTGGTAACTCCTCATTGCCCCCCTTTATCAGCCTAGCAACCCTTCACTGCCCCCCACCCTGCCAGTTTGGTCACCTCCAACTGCCCCCCTGTGAGCCTGGTCGCCCCACGCAGCCCTCTGTTCTGCCGTTTGGTCATCCCTTACTAATTCCCCTGCTGACCTGGTCGCCCCACACAACCTGTTCAGTCATCTGTTCAGTTGTTTCGGATGCTATGGTCACTTAGCCTTTTATATGTATAGATAATCAGACCCTCATAAACATCCATGATATCATAGCTAGAGAATACACATATATAATACATGTAGTCTGCATCAATGTGCTAACCTAGAATTCATTTGGAATCAGGCATACTTGGACTCAATTTCTACTACTGATTAGCTATGTAACTTTGGGTAAGTTGTTTAACCTGAGTTTGTCTCTTTATTGGTAGAAGTAGGAAAAAAATACATTTTCCAGAGGGTTGTTGTAAAGATTAAATGAGATAATGCATGTAAATATAAAGCAGAAAGCACAGTATCTGGCATATGGTAAGTGTAAAATAATCATTAACTTTCTAATTCTACTTTAAAGGAAGAGTCCTTTAAAGGGTTATTTAAATATAAATTATCTTGTGTAATTTAGATTAGACTCAAACCAATAAATTTAGGTACTTGCTAACAGCTCACTTAAAGATCTTTTAGGAAAATTTAACTGCAGAATGGCTAAAATTGAGTTTAGCCACTGTAATTGTGTTTTTGTATGTAATCCATAGTTCTTTGTATTCTTGTTGAAATAAAACAAATACTTGTGGAGAAAGTAGACATGCCAAGGAGGTCCCCATTCCTCCCTTCACTTTATGCAATTCTGCTCTACAGAGCTTCAGAGAGTCTTGTATTATAAAATAAACATCAACAGAAATATTACCTCCTTTTATTTAATCCTGATGTTGACTAGACAGAATACTAATACTATGATCAAACTGTGTTGACTTAGTGTGGCATCCAGAAGCTGCACTGACTGAGTCAGATCTAACCCAGCCTTTCACTATCAAGCTCCATGTATACTAGGAATTAGGAAGAATGTAGTAACTTGAAGCCCCCAATATGGAAGTTTTTGAAGTTACAGAACTAATTAAATTTGTCACAATATCAGTCTCTTTGTTTGTATAGAGACTGACTAACCAAGGAACAAGATTGTTACATGCAGCTTTTAAATATGTTTTAGCTTTCTTCCCCTCCTGATCACAGACTTATATTAAAAGTAAATTCTGCCTAAAATAGTTGCTAAATTGAATACCTGAGCATCGAAGGGAATGGGCCAGTTCTGTTGTCATAACTTGTATGATCAGACCAATTCGAAGTCGAAACATTTCAGCAAAAAGGCCAGGTTGAGTTCGCATATACATAGCTAGATATACCATTATTTCCTGTACATGGAATGGATATAGACAAAAATTATGACCCATGCTTCACAAGGCCTATTTTGTGGTCAAGTGCCAGATCAATTAAAAACAAAATTTAAAATATCAGTCACCAGATTAGGCTTTCTAATTCTACTCACCTGTGTCAGGATTGAAATGCTCATGTCCCCTTCACTGGCTTCATCTATCAGCTGAGTGAGCACTTCATAGGGCAGAGGTCTGAGGAAGAAGACAGTAAAGAAAGACAAAATCCTGTAATTACTTATACCTAATTCTATTGAGAAAATAAAAAAGCTCCTCCCAATTTCAAGCCACTGCCTCAATATCTCATCATTACTGGTAGCATATATGCTGATTCTTTCAGTCTTCAGAATTCATTGCCTCTCCAACCACTCTGGCCCATATGAACTCAAGAGAGTTCTGGTCTCTCTTATCTAAATTTGGATTGCCTTTCCCCTATAAAATTTTATGTAAACCCCACTAGATGGTGTCCTTCCAGACTACTTTTTCAGGATTAATTAACATTTGACAAGTAACTATTATGGCTAGAAATTAAAGCTGTGCCTTTTGGAAGCTATTTTATTACTTTACTAGAGGCCCAATGCACGAAATTCATGAAAGAGTAGGCCTTCTTTTCCCTGGCTGCCGGCACCAGCTTCCCTCTGGCCACTGGCCTCTCTCACAGACAGAGGCCCCACCCACCAGCCACAGCCCACAGGTGGGTGGTCTGGGCTTCCTTCTTTGAGGCAATCATGCAGCTCCCCCCTCCACCCGATTGATCACCCCACCTGCTGGTGGCCTGGGCCTTCCTCAGTGGGGTGATCATGGGATGATGGCTGGCCCCTGACCAATCGCATCGCACCTGCCTTGGCTGGCCTGGTGCCAGTGGGTGTCATAGTGTGGTCCAGGATTGTTGTCCAGACAGTCGTTCCACTATTCAGCCATCTGGTCTAATTAGCATATTGTTTTTTTATTATCACACTTTATAAAGCTATATTGATTTTCTATAGTTCATTAGTTCGTTCTCTCTCTCTCTCTCTCTCTCTCTCTCTCTCTCTCTCTCTCTCTCTCCTCTCTCTCTCTCCTTCTCTCTCTCTTTCCACACTTCTCACCTCCTGTTAATACTAAGCACTTTGGAGGCATGGGGCATGGAGTATGCCCTCTTCTTCTTTGGGACTGCCTACAGTACAGGCATACCTTGCTTTATTATACTACTTTACTTTACGGTGTTTCATAGATATTGAATTTTTATCAACATTGAGGCAAGACCCACCACCAGCAAAAAGATCAAAATTCACTAAAGGCTCAGATGATGGTTAGCATTGTTAATAATAAAGTATTTTTAAAATTAAGGTATGTACCTTTTTTAGACATAATAACTTTGGATATTCAGTAGATTACATAACCTTTATATGCACTAGGAAATAAAAAAAATTCTGTGAGTCACTTTATTGTGATATTTACTTTATTGTACTGGTCTGGGACTAAACCACAATATTTCCAAGGAATGCCTGTAGTCACAAAATTAATCTGATTTGTAATAAAATATTCTGTTTTCCAAGAGCAAAGTATAATTGATTGAATGTGTCCCCTCAATGTTCATATGTTCAAATCTTAATCCCTAGTACCTCAGAGTGTGACCTTATTAGGCAAAAGTTATTGTGTGGACTCTAATCCCATAGGAATGGTGTCTTTATATAAATTGTAAATCTGGACACAGGGAGACACACACAGAAGAAAGAAACATAAATAGACATAGGGAGAAAACAGCCATTTATCTTCCAAATACAGAGGCCTGGTTTAACAAAGTCCAAAGAATAGCTGATTTTTTTGTTTTTTGCTTTGAATGAGAGGTTTGGAAAATTCAATAACAAAACAAAACAACCATAAAATTAAAATTAAAATACATTTGCATGTTACTCACTGTGAGTTTTCTTTCATTTATTCTGCTCTGTTATTATCAACATTCTCATGCTAAGATACTCACGCAAGTAGGACATTATTATCCATTGATATATTAGGGCAAGAGAACTGGGATCAGTTCCCAAAGCTCCTTAAAGACTAAGAGAAGCTTGACCAAACCCAGGCAAAAGCCATACTCACGAAGAGATAGTCTTCTCTCGAGGTTCTGGAGGGAGTCCCACTGTCAAATGTTTCTGGTGGGAGAGAAGGTCTGTGCAGGCCTAAGGAGAGACAGCATAACAGCATTATCTTTCCCATAACATTTCAGAGTTTCATGAAAATTAATCTTTTCTGCCTAGAAGCCTTTGTTCCCCCTTAATTTAATCACACACGAAATGTACTTTCTTAGGAAATACCAAGAAGATCAGAAAAGAGGGATTTTTAGAAAGGAACAATGAGGTATTTTATCTCCTAAGGGGTAGGAACATGGCCTAGTGCATATTTGTTCTTAAGATCTAGAATTCTTATAGTTTACAACACTTCCATAAGTCCACAGTTTACATGCTTCAGTATATTTGCAAACAAAAAAATTAACTGAGTATCAGAAATTTTATGTAGGAAAGAAAGCATTTCAAATGATCAGAGGTTGCTTTAAAAGATATTGTAATTATGAAAACCAACTTTTAAAAAATGTCCTCCATTTAGATTTGGTTCCAATTTAAGAAGAATTTATAGTACCTCATCGAGTGCTTCCACCTTCTTCCTTAGGATTCCAGAGATATACCGGATCAAGCCCCAGTGACGGATTTCTCCAACTTTGCTATATAGCTCAGTAAGAAGCTCTCTGACTGTTGCACTCCCTTCATCATACAATCCAGTGTCCCAGTCAGGTCCCCTGGAATGTTAAAGACAAGCCTACATTAATTGTAAGTAAAGTTGTCAGCAATAATCTTTTGTTTCAGTGTTATAATGGATATATCTGTTTTTGATAGGTCTCTCAATAGGAAATGAATGTTATTATTAACTAAGAATCCTTGTAAAATGCTAATTAGTAGTCAGTCCCGGAAGTAAAATACCTAGACAAGAATAAGTCTTAGCCAAACTGGTTTGGCTCAGTGGATAGAGGGTCGGCCTGTGGACTGAAGAATCCCAGGTTTGATTCTGGGCAAGGGCATGTACCTTGGTTGTGGGCACATCCCCAGTGGGGGGTGTGCAGGAGGTAGCTGATCGATGTTTCTCTCTCATCGGTATTTCTTTATCCCTCTCCCTTCCTCTCTGTAAAAAAATCAATAAAATATATTTTTTTAAAAAGAATAAGTCTTCGTTTCAGCTGTGTTTTGACAAAATTGTCTTACCCTCTTCATGGACTTCAATGGTGCTGATAATAAAGTCAAAGATTTCATTTAACCATTGAAAGTTCAGAAAACAGCCACTTAGGGAACTACTGAAGAAATAACAAGGAGTGCTATTTTTAAAGGATAAAGATATGTTATTGTGAAATTTACTATAATACAAATCAGCATGAAGTACCATAAAAGATATATACAGTACTGTGAAATTGGGAATTTAATATGTGATAAAGGTAGATCATTTATTAAATGATATTAAGACAAATAGCCATCTGAAAAAGAAGTTGGATCCATGCCAGAATCCCAAATGTATCAAATATTTAAATATAAAGGTACTAGAAAAAACATAGGAGAGTAACTTTGGAGGTAAAAGGACTTTTAAACTATGAACTATATACCAGAAGCCATAAAAGACTGATACATTTATATACACAAAAACAACCAAATCCTTACTGCAAAACTACAGTAAGCAGAGTCATAGGACAAATTTCCAACTGATAAAAATATTTGAAATTCATAGGCTAATTTTCTAATATGTAAAGAACTCCAAGAGAGCGGCCTCTTCTAGGAACTCATCAGCGCCACCAACCAGACAATGCTTGGACACTGCCCCAACCCGGCAGCCACTCCAGCCAAATTCTTGCTTCCTACCCACAGACCCGAGGACCATGGGACCTCCACCTCCGAAGGTGCACTGCTCCCACAGCAGTAAGTGCAATTTCCCTGCTCCCCAGCAGCAGACCTCCGGATACCACATTCATGTTTCCAGTGTGAAGGCTTAATGGACACACAGGCAGTTTTGGGGAGCTACTGTGAGCCCCCTCTGGGTGTGATCGTGTACAAACAAGGGCACGCTGCCCTGCAGTAGAAATTCTGAATTCCCTTTGCTGAATAACTGCCCACAGACAACACAGCTGCGCAACTTCAGCAACAGGGCAAATCAGAGTGCATCAGAGTTCTGGGACTGCAAAGGCACTGCCACAGTTGTGCACCTACAAGAAGCAGGCCCCCTGAACCCATCTATCCACAGGGAACCCTGAGGAGCCGCAGTGAGCCCCAGCTGGGTGCAATCTTGGATAAACAGGAACGCACTCCCCCAGCAGTAGAAATTCTAAATTCACTCATCCTGGACAACTGCCCACAGACACCTCGATCAGTGCTAAGGTCCTTCAGAGTGCTTCAGTGCACAGCTCTGGCAAACACACCACAGGTGCCCCTGTGAGCAGTAACTGGGAGAGCATACCTAGCCAACTACAGGTGCAGTAGCAGAAACCGAGTCTTCCCACCCCACAGCTGCAGTACTCTGGACACTACAATCACACGATTTTCCAGTGTGCAGGCCTCCCAAGCCCACCTTTCCACAGGCAGCCCTTGGGCATTGCTGTGAGTCCCTACTGGGCATGCACTTATATTAACAGGGGTGCACTGCTGGGCTGTAGAAACACTAAATTCCCTCTTCTGGGATACCTACCCACAAATACCACAATCCTGTGGCTTCAGTGATAGGGCCCTTCAGAGTGCATCAGTACCCCCTGCTGGCAAACACACTGTAGGTGCCCCTGTGAGCTGCCATGGGAGGGACATGTATCTAACCATGGAGGCAGTAGCAAAAGCTGAGTCTACCCACCCAAAAACTACAGAACTCTCTGGACACCACAGTGGTGCCTCTCCAGAGTGCAGGCCCCCTGAACATCACCAACCCAACAGACAGTTCCTAGGTGTTATTGTGAAGCCCCGCTGGGCATGTGCGATTTCAACCAAGGGCACAGGACAGCAAAAATTGGGACACCCCCCTCCATGGCCACTGACTTCTAGAGACCACAGTTGCATCTTTCCAACCCACAGGCCTACATCAAGAGAACCCAAATAGCTCAAATAGGGAGCTACAGTAGATTACCAAGCCCAGGAGACTTTAGAGATCACACTAGTACCACCATTCCCAAAAGAACCTGGGTAGCAAAGCAAATGGATCTACAATTAAAACATTACAGCAAAATATGGGAAGACAAAAAAGAAATCCCCAAAGAAAAGAAAAACAGGAATCACCGAAAAGGGAGTTAAATAAAATTGAGACTAGTCACATATCAGAGAAAGAATTCAGAGTAATGGTTATAAGGATGCTCAAACATTTGGATGACAAATACACACAACTCAATGAGAATTATAAGGAGCTAAATGAGAATGTCACCAACATGAAAATAAACCAAAAGAAAATGAAGAATGGCATAACTGCAATAAAGAACACAATGGAAGGCTTTAACAGTAGACTAGAAGAGGCCGAGGACCACATCAGCAAATTAGAAGACAAGGTAGGAGAAAACATACAAATGCAGGAGCACCTGGAAAGAAAATTTAAAAAGTAAGAAGAGAACCTAAGGAACCTTTGGGACAATACAAAATGAAACAACATCCACATAATAAGGATATAAGAATGAGAGGAAGAGCAGCAAGAAATAGGAAACCTGTTTGAAGAAATAATGACAGAAAACTTCCCTGATATTGGCAAGAAAAACACTATGCAAGTCCAAGAAGCAAATAGAGTCCCAAACAAGTTGAACCCCAAGACCAACACCAAGACACATCATAATTAAATTGGCAAACACCAACAACAAAGTAAGAATCTTAAAAGCTGCCAGAGAGAGAGAGAAAGTTACCTACAATGGATCTCCTATTAGAATAGCAACTGATTTCTCAACAGAAACACACCAGGCCAGAAGGAAATGGAAAGAAATATACAAAGTGATGCAAAACAAGGGACTGAATCCAAGAATACTATACCCATCAAGATTATCATTCAAAATTGAAGGTGGAATCAGGAGCTTCACAGATAAAAGAGAGCTAAGAGAGTTTATTACCACCAAGCCAGCAATGCAAGAAATGATAAAGGGACTGATGTAAAAAGAAGAAACAGAAAGGCAAGAAGAAAAACAAACAGTAATAACAAAAATGACAACAAACAAGTACTTATCAATAATAACATTAAACATAAATTGATTAAATGTTCCAATCAAAAGACATAGGGTAGCTGTATGAATTTAAAAAAAAACAAACATGAACCACATATTTGATGTCTGCAAGAGACCCACCTCAGAACAAAAGACTCATATAGACTGAGAGTGAAGGAATAGAAAAAAAAATGTTTTAGGCAAATGGAAAAAAGAAAAAAGAAAAAAGCAGTGATTGCAATACTTATATCTGTCAAAATAGACCTCAAACTGAAGGCCATAACAAGAGAGAAGGAAGGAAACTACATAATACTGAAGGGAGCAATACAACAAGAAGACATAACTTTAGTAAACATATATGCACCCAACAGAGGAGCACCCAAATACATAAAACAACCTTTGGAATATATTAAGGGAGAGATCAATAGCAATACAATCATAGTAGAGGACTTGAATACTCCACTGACATCACTGATAAATACTCTAAACAAAAAAAATAGCAAAGAAACAGCAATCCTAAATGACTCACTAGATCAGATGGACTTAATTGACATCTTCAGAATATTTAAACCCAAAGCTACAGAATATACATTCTTCTCTAGTGCACATGGGGCATTTTAATAGATAGGCCGCATATTAGGACACAGTCAAAGTCTCTTCAAATTCAAGAGGATAGAATTCATAACATGCATCTTCTCAGTTCACAAAGACATAAAACTAGAAATCAACAACAATAAAAACAATGAAAAAAAACTTGGAGGTAAAAGAGCATGCTATTAAACAATATTGGGGTTACCAAAGAGATCAAAGAAGAAATAAAAAGCATCCTGGAACAAATGACAATGAAAAACAAAAACCAAAATCTATGGAACACAATGAAAGCAGTTCTGAGAGGGCAGTTCATAACTCTACAGGTCTACCTCCAAAAAAAAACACAAACAAACAAACAAAACAAAACAAAAAAAAAAAAAAAAAAAAAAAAAAAAAAAACCCACAAGAAAAACTGGTAATAAATTATCTAACCTTGCAACTTAAACAATTAGAAAGAGAGCAACAAGAAAAGCCCAGCATAAGAAGAAGGAAGGAAATAATAAAGATCAGAGCAGAAATAAATGACAGAGACCCAACCCCCCCCCCCCCAAAAAAAAAATACAAAAGATCAACAAAACCAGGAGCTGGTTCTTTGAAAGGATAAACAAGATTGATAAACCTCTAGCCAGGCTCACAAAGAAACAAAAAGAGAGGACCCAAATAAACAAAATCAGAAATGAAAGGGGAGAAATAACAAAAGACCCCACAGAAATACAAAGGATTGTTAAAAAAAAAAAATACTATGAAAAACTCTATTCCAACAAACTAGACAATCTGGGGGAAATGGACATATTCCTTGAAAAATATAACCTTCCAAAACTCAATCAGGAAGAATATAAAAAGCTAAATAGGGAGATAACTATAGAGGAAAATTGGAAATTGAAACAATCATCAAAAAGCTTCCAACAAACAAAAACCCAGGCCCATATGACTTTACAGGAGATTTATACCAAACATTCAAGGAAGAACTAAACTCTATCCTCCTCAGACTATTCCAAAAAATTCAAGAG